TGAGGAGTTTGTGAGTTCCTCCCATGCATGCATGCATGAGTTCTCCATGTGTTATCCATCATCCTCCTACAGTCCCGAAAACATAACTGCTAGGTTATCTGGATAGATAAATAGATTAATCTGCCTCCCATAGGGAAACGGACGTGCAGGATTGTCAGCAAGCATTTACATAAAGGACGTATGAACATAACATTAACATACATTATCAACAGCAAGGAGCTCAGTAATTTACGGTACCTTTTCACTATTTGTCATCTAACTGCTTGTGGCATGAAGCAAAAATTGGTCATATTTCTTGAGAATAAAGGAAGGCAGTACCTTTGCTGTGAGGGAAGCAGCTAAAATGAAAATCTTAGAGGGTATATTGTCTTCTATCTCTAATCTTGTTTGCCTTCCTCATAACTCTGCACATATATATATTTTCCATGCTCTGCAGAGAGGTCCCTTACATTTTCCTGGCTGTGATCGCCCATGTGTCTAAGGATTTACTAGAACATCACTGCTTCAAACATATATTACAGTAACGGTAGCCCCTGCAGGTCAAAAAGCATAGACAACACAGATGTAACCATGTCATCCGAAAGTTGGAGCTGACATTTACTGTGCTAAAAAGCCAGTGTTCACTGCAGCTTTGATAGCTACTAAACTCACATAAACCTACAATTCTGTGCCAACAAGCTTGGTTTATGTTTGCAGAATCTACTATTATGAATTCTATGGTAACAAGCAACAGTGTCTAATTAAACAGAATGGAAAAACTTAGCTTTACACTAATTTAGGCAGTACAGCTCACTTATTTGTCAAGGACAAACATGTTAACTTCAGCGTCCTTTTTAAAAACTTTCTCCCTCATTAGCTCCGTCCACCTGGAGATGTCTTGCCTGATGTTTATCCTTGTTTTATTGTTGTTTCTGTTTTTGTTGTCTTTTAAGTTCTCTTTTTCACTTTCCTGGTAATGGTGAAACCGTTACTTGCTGCTGCTTATGCATAGACCTGCATCGTGCTGCAGTAGACTTTCAGTTGTTCTGTTAGCGTCTCCAAATGTTCTTCAGCACCGCCTCTCAATCACACTGAACTTCTAAAAAGGGGAAAGGCATTGTTATTCTGTGAGTTAGTACTATTTTACCCCTCACCTGCATCTCTACTTTCAAGATGGCAGACTGTCACGATGATTCGCATACGGGTGACAAGCCTTATTTATAAACAAACAGAAAATTCGTTGTTTATGGAAATGTATCTGCAGTCATTGATTTCAGGCCGTAAAAAGAAAAAAATGTTTCAGAACATCCCTTTAAATGCATTTACATTGCTATAAAAATTCAGACAGTGAGTGTTGTTGCAGAACTTTAAAAAAGAGAAACCTTTACCCTCAGTGTAACCCCTGTCTAGTTTTGATTGGCATACAATGGAGGAGTTGTTCATTGAGACAAAGGAATAGGGAAACAAGCCAACAGATCATTTTTATTTAGGTCATCTCCCTGAGTGAGCGTTCCAGAGCCAGTAACCGGGACCTCCTGAATGCCTGCCCTTCCATCAAGGCTGAAATTATTCTCCTCTGTCCCCTTCAAAGACTCATAATGCACATTTGAAGTGAAACGCAGAGGTCAGCTGCTGGTTTCTTACCCCCGGGTGTGCTAACTGAAACCTCTATGAAAAATGGTCCGAGCAATCCACTGAATGTGTTGCGTTAGCATGTTTTATATAGCAGGCAGTCCATTCCACTGAGGCTTTTGTATTAAAGTTCCCTACAGCATGAAATGTTAAGCTGCTGTGACCACTGACGTCAAGCGTCGCAGCGGGTAAAGGAACTCCTGTCGATAGGCTGCCATTCATTTTTTATAAGCTCCTCATCAGAGCAGCAGGGGGACAGTTGGATTTTAGTAAAATGTTTCTTTTCGTTTTGAAACAAATTCTTACAAGGTCTCACTTGGAGACATCTATTTGCTTCATTAAACTTAAAGCGGTTGATCACGATAAAATGGCAACTGTTACTCTCTTATGAAGTTTGAAATGCAGGCAAAAATTTTCTCATTTTTCATAAAACATTATGATACATCTCATTGTTTTTTAAAAAAAAAGGCTTTATTTGCACTTGTGAGTGATGCAAATATACCTATTAACATTTTTTTTTTTTTTAATCAAAGCAGCTTTGGATAGCCAAATATAAAGGATTATTCTTCATTGCTGATGTGCATCTGGAGTTGCAGTAAAAAACTTTAGATATATAAGTCTAATAGCTCTTCATTTTTTGTCTTTTTGCTGTAGCACAAATCTTTTCTCTTTTAGAAGTTGCAGGAAACATTGTCTTCAAAAGTGAACAATAACATTTCAGCAATGCATCTTTGACGGACTGTGTGAGCAATGATGGAGATGACAGAGACGGTTATTCTTTTATGTTTTTTTTTTTTTAAATACAGAAGGTCTCTTTCACTCTGACCTAAATCCAAAGGTGTTTTTTCCCTTGGTAGCATGACTCCTGATGCCAGCTGTGCCCCTGGCTGTGACTGCTGCTTTGTATTCACTGTAGAGTTCAGCCTTTTCCTGGGACTTATTGTTTGTGCTGGATTGACATGCATGAATGCATCTTCATTATTTCCCTTAAGAAAACCTCTCCTTCGTTCATATGACTCCAAAGCTAAAAAAAAAAAAAAAAATCTTAAACTACCTTAATTTGTGTTTCCCATTAGCATAATGTCTTACATTGACTTTAAGTTCAAATTGAGCTGTTTAAACTTATTGCAGGCATTCATTTAAAAGTTTCTACTTTTGAACAGCCTATGCAACTAAGTGAAAAATAAGATCTCATTAGGCCGTCCAAATGGAAGATGATACATAAAGTCATGGACGAATCAATAAAGGAATTACTCATCAGACAAAATAGACTTTCTTTCCTGTTCATCTTTGTCTCCAGATCTAAATAACCCAATTGGTGAGCAGAGAAAAACAATCTGTCACTGTACAATACTACACATCTGTATAAAGTATTAACAACAGACATACTGATGAGTACTATTATGTAAAATTTTCTTTTTATCAACAATTATTACTCAGGTTAAATGTTAGTTTTATCACTTATGACAGGTATTAATGTTGCTCCTGCAATATAGGAAAGGGGAAAAAAGTACTTTGAGGCTTTTTACACCTCTTATACGGCTTTAGGTGTTATGCACCATATGATCAATTGCTCATGGGTCATTAATGAGGCCTAATGTACATGGTGGCCCTGTTTGATCAAAGTTGAGATTCCCTGCCAACTGTCTCAGTTTCAGAGATTGCTCTCTGGGCAGTTTCTCTCTGATCTATATAGAACCAGAGAGTTTATTAGAGATCCTGGTGGGAATTTTGATTGCTGTGAAAATGACAAAGCTATCAGTATTCCCACCAGAAAGAAGCAGACGAAGCAAACGGGGAGAAGTTCTAACACTCTGTCAATGGTGACTACTATTCTGCCATCCATCCATGCATTGCCTTGGTAATCAAAACTGAGAGGTATAAATAAATAGTCGCCACAAAATGCTCCGCCTAAACCTAGTTAAATGGTTACAATCTGGTCCATGGTCACTAATACTGAAGACTTAAAAGCAGTTCTTTGGACACTATCTTCTCCATATCATTTCAGATTACAGGCAGAAACTTAAAAGTTCATAGGCTGGTTTTCATACTGTTTGTAAAATGGACTCCTGAGTCTAAGCTGATGGCTTAATCCCGCAGTGGGAAGATTTTTGAAAAATAAGCTTTATTTACATAAATTAATCAAATTTGTGACATCGTATATCAACATATGTTAGTCTTGGTCTGCATATAGAACAACGTTTCAACAATAATAACACAGATATATACTTGTCACACTATCCTAATGGGGACTTTCCATTGACTCCCATTAATTTCCCACAATTCACACCTAACTCCCTCCCCATGTAGAGGACCTTTCCTCATGGGCACCAGGTGTTGGTCCCCACAAGTACCTATAAGTCACCAAAATGTAGCATATTCCTGGGAAATTGTTCCCAGAAGGTAACAAAAACATTGCCAACGCCCGCAGCAAAAGACTTAATCATACATCAATGAAAATCAGCTGTGCTGATAACCTCTAAACCCTGAAGGACAGCAGCGCTCAATGACCGACTTTAGGCATGCCTTCTCTAATCCTAAATATCACCATAAACCTAACCATTACCAGAGCACTCCTCATCTTAACTATCCAAATTGACACCATCAGAGACTGTACTGTACTATAGTCACTAACGCGCTGCTTGTCATCATTTGCATCGACATTATTCAGTCTGTTTAGTGCACTTCCATTTCTTTTGGATTTGGCTCCTCTACAAAACAAGTCCAAGAAACAAAATCCAACAAACAATCAGGTCTGTGTAGAAGATCGTTGGGGCTGACCTTTCTTCCTTCTAGGATCTGTAGAAATCTAGGACCAAAAAAAAGCAACCACCATCTCTGCTAACCTCAACTTTATGGTCAGAGGCTGGTAAGTCTCCTACCTGCAGGTCTGTGCTACAAAGGCCTATCACAAAAATACAAAATGTCACAAAGACAATTCCTTTCCCAGGTCTGCCTAACTTTACCACTAAAATGATTCTAGTTCAAAGTATGTTTTCCTAAAAAGCTTTAATTAGAAAAAAACCCCAAACAAAACCAAAAAAAGGAAGTAATGAAGACATTTTTTTACAATGGAAATCAATCACAAATTCAACTCTTCTGCATTCAAGAAATTTAAGTAAAACTAATAATATATACAAAATATTTGCATCCCATTGTGATAGTTGTCATAAAAGCATCCATCCATTATGAAAACATTAGAAAATGACAAAACAAATTTAATCATAAAAAAGGAGCCAAAGAGTGCCATCTAGCTACAAAAGCCTGTAACTGTACTTCAGCTTCTTGCTTATAAACTCAGTAATAGAACATTTTGTTGCTGACATTTTTTTTAATATAGTGACATAAAAAAATAAAACATAAATTTTTTTTTCTTTGCCTTTTCTCAGCTTTACAGCGTGACATCAAGAAATTTCAAAAGGACAAGTTAACCTATCCTGAAGTTGCTTTATCAGTGACCTAAGAACATCTTCAAATCAGCCATGGAGCAGAAGACAAATGAGGTGTGTTAAAAATGTGACTCATGTTATTTTTCATTATTCCAACCTGATCTAACAAGATCCTGCCTCCCTATAGTGTCACACCTCCACCTCTCTGCAGAAGCACATGAAGAACAGGTCTAAATCCACAGAGGAGACACAACAGTCCAGGAAGGTGAGCAGCATTTAGAAACATGAAAGATTGGTTCCTGTTTCTATCTGATCTGATTTTAGCATCTTCCTTATCAGGCATTCTCCTCACAAAAGTCACTGCCAGGCAGGCCAGATCTGGACAAAGTGAAGGTGCGCTTTGTTTTTCTACTTGCCAGCTCTACATTGCCTCTTCACTTCTCATGTCCTTCTAAATAGTTATTTCATTTAAACTTTAAAATGTGTTCTCCTAATGCGTCAATTTGCCTTATATTCTGCAGGAGAGTCCCGAAGGCCCTGACACACTTTCCTCCTCCACAGAAGAGTTAAAGTGACATAAAAAATCACCTTAAAGCCACTAAATAACTCATAGAAAATGTACATATGTTAACAAAAAAAAAAAAAAAAAAAAGAATCTTTATGATCCATTTAAGCTGTGGATACAATGCTGAAACAACCGGCATGAAACAAACTTCCATTTGATGAAGCTGTGTCATTGTGCTGTGACTTGTAAAACTGTTTAGTAATAGTAAAGTGATGTTGTATAACTGCATATTTTTTCTCTTTTTGATTCTTTGCAATAACAGATTAATGGAAGGTGCAAACAGATTTTAAAATACAGATTTAGGGCCTCCCTTTTTCCTTTTATTTTCAAAAATGCTCATATAGGGTCCATGAGAAAATGGAAACATCTACAAATTATCCTAAATAATTTCTTTCTCTTCTTTTACATTCTGATAGCCCTAAAGTACTAAATGAAACATATTTAAATTTTTACAAAAGCAGATAGTTCACATTGTACATCTATAACAGAGTGTATCTGTGGTATCTTATTTAACTTTTTAACAAGATCAGTTTGGAAATATCGTGCTTAATCGTTTTATAGAATATGTGTGAGATCAAACTAAAGAAAGACATTAATGTTAATGAAAAAAACCCAAAACAAAACAACAACAAAAAACACTAGAATACTTTTTTTTAAAGAAGTATAAGTATACCAGAGTGGAATTTTGTATTCATCTCAGCGTACTCTAGACCTGATTAAAACCCAGAGCAAACAACTGCCTCTAAAAATTCCTCCAATGTCAGCAAGTTTAAAGATGGCTGTTCTGTTCTGTAAAGGCTCAGGTTTGTCAGAGAATATTAAATATAACAGATAAGGTATAAATCTTTGAAGAAGGGTTAAGTTACAGCTCTGGATGGGTGATAAAAACAGTGAACATTTTTGATTAAATGCTAAAAGCCAACTGTGTTGGTAAACCTAGCCTGGTGAGGCAGATTATGAATGTTTATCTCTCTTGGTTTAGTTCTACACATCTGAGCCTTTTCAGCTGAAGGAGGGACATTCAGCTAAACCTACTGGGTAATCTCTCAGAGATTCTCTCAGAGATCCTTCAGTTGCTACTATGTTTATTTTGGTTCAGTTTCCGCTTTCATCACAGTTGTATGTCCCACATTGTACTCTAATATTGCAGCTTGATTGGCAAGCTCTGGGTTGCAGAGAAATGACAAGGACACTTACTTCCCTGGACTACGACATCTAATCTCAGATGGAGCACAGTTAGAATCAGATGTTTACTTCAAACCAATGCAAACAGAATAGTTCTTTCAGTTTGACTCCCATCAGCCAGTGGAACACAAGTTAGGATTCTGTTCAGGTTTCTGTATCACAGAGTAGACAATGTTCCCACAGACAAAGGAGCCAAAAGAGCAGTCACACACAAGATGGGCTCTAGAGAAGGGTTCTTCAACATTTTCCAGGCTAAGGACCCCCAAACTGATGGAGAGATGGAGCGGGGACCCCCCAATTATATGTTTTGTATGAAATTGTGTTATATCAAACTGCTCCTATAGTCACTCTTTTACAAATGTAATGAAAGCAACTTCACCCTGGGATTGTTAAAGTATTTCTGATTCGTCGTTGATAGGACAAGTGTTGTGAATAAAACGGTGCCTAGATTGAAAGAGCTCCTGTGTGTCGCTGAATGTGTGCATTGATGACTGAAAGACATCTTCTACCTCTGTTTATCTACAGTGTGTTGAATTCATGTTAATATGTATTTATAGACATTTCAGTCAGTGGAAACAATTGCACGCTGGAAAAATTCAAAATCTAGATGAGTCATTTTTTTTCTCAAAATCAGTGCATTTTTTCTTGAAATAAAGAGGTAAAAGAGACATTTTTCCAATGGAACAATACAATTTATATTTAAAATAAGAAAACACAATTGCATTGCCTTATTTCAAGTGCATTTTATCTAATTGTCTTATTTTAAGGGTAAAAATACTCATTCCATTGGCAAACTATCTCATGTACTTCTTCAAATTAAGGGTAAATACACTTAACTTCGTTACTATCATTTTTTCCAGTGCAAGGGGGAATATATGAATATATAAACAAGAAAAGCCTGATTAACCAAAAGTTTTGCGACCCCCATGCAATACCCCTGTGGACCCCCTTTGGGCCGCAGACCACCCTCCTGTAGAGCAATGTTGTTATCCTAACCAAGCTACCCTCAAAGCAGACAAGAAACCAGAGCAGACTCCAGACAGGCATCAGATAAAAAAGGAGGGACCCATGCCCAGACCAGTGGTCACTGTGTATCTTAGACTTTCAGAGAAAATTAGACGGTCTAAACATGATGTCCCAGTGGCTTTCAAACATCAAAACGCTTTGAAATAAAAAGACTGTTTGACCCTAATAATCCCATCCCCATCACAGAAAAGTATTTTGTTTGCTGCAAAGAACATTGTGACCACTATACACAAAGGAAACAAAGAAGCCACTGGCCATAAGGACGGTCCAACACAAAAGAACAACACCATCAGACCAAGATTCAACAGTTTACACTCATCTGGAGGCCAGCAGTCAATCTCTCATGAATGAAGATGTTCTTTTCATGAAAAGGGAGGAACTTTAATTTAAGGGTAAACTTGTGCACCAAGAATTGAGAAACGATTAAATCTGGTTCCAAGATTTACCTTCTTCCAGAATTGTTTAAATAAAAAATGAATGTAACTCCTAATTTCAATGTTGTCTGTCTAGAGAAAATCATCCCACTTACAAAGTACTACTATTATCCACACAGTAAGTGAAAGCTGAAGCATTGCTTTACTATGTCATTGAAATATAATCGAGATAAGAAAAAGTGCAACAAATGTATGACTCTGAAGCCGAATCAGTCATGGTTTTGTTAAAATGTTGAAACATTTTCTGTTATTAACTGCTTAAAATACTAAATATCCACTTGTTAGTTTTATGGTATCTTCAGACTCTCTGTTTCTCAACTCAAATTTTATTTTTGATTCACCATTCAGAACAAAATTCTAAAGCCATTCCTCTACTTAAGGTGTATAGCTGTGAATAAAATACCAAAATCTCATAAACCATGTTGAGCTTTATTGCTTTCTGTTGCATTATTAAAAAATAAAATAAACCATTAAAAAGAAGGTTAAATCTTTATGTAATTAGGTGGAAAATAAAGAGGATTATGTATTTATTTTAAAATATTTAACTGAAGATCTTTTTTTCTACATACATTGGAATCATGCCATAATATTATACTGACATCTAGTGGTCACATGCCGCAATCACATTGCTTTACCATCACAGATAATGGAGTTTTCAAATAAATAACATTCAGTTTTTTAATGATGATCTTACTTGGTATATTTTGCATCCAAAAAACTTACTAGAGTAGGGTTAGTTTAATCCTAATGCTAAATAAAACAGCTTTAGGCTCTGTAACAGAATGTACAGCTTGGAACCTATATAGCTAACTTGTCAACTGACAGCGTTGGGTGTGCAAAAAGGTCTGCAGTAATAAAAACATAAAGATTTTAACAGTTCCTTGGATGGAAAAGGAAAATGTAACCAGAAAAAGGCAATGATGTAAGTTTAAACAGAGCAGAAGAGAAGAGCATCATTTAAATATGTACAGTAGATCTGCAAAGTACAGGAAATGTGAGAGTATCAGAGCAAAAAATGAAGAGGCCAAAATACCTTCAATATCAGGTTTCTTATAGGGACCGGAACATATTTTACATTACAGACTAAATTTTTCCTCATTGTCAAGTTAATTGCTTGGCCTGTGCCTTATTGTTTTATTCTGTAAGTTTTGATAACTACATCAGTGAGCCTGTACCAACAGACCAAGATCTATAATCCTCATCAATTTGTCCTAAAAATGTTTCTGATAAAAAACCTAATAGGACAAAATAAGAAATCTGATGTAAAAAAGTGAGAGTATTTTGTCAGTTTTGTTTATCAAACCTTCTATACAAGATGGAATAATTTGCAGCTTTTTAAAAAACAATGAAAATACATGTTTAGACAAAGGGAGCCAGATAGTTATAATTTTACAAAATGATTAGTGTGTTAAGAAGTTGCCGGTCTGTTTACACTGTACAATACGGCTTAAGAAAAAATATCAGAAAGTTAGGTAGATAAAATGTTAGGAAGCCTAATAATTAACCACACCTATCTTTTAATTATCTTAAAAAAAAAGTTCCTAGGGAAAGTTCTTGAAGATACCAAGTTGGGTGTAAATCCACTGATGGGTTGTCGAGATTTGGAGCCTAAAGTGCTTGTTGTAACACCAGAACTTATCTTCCAATAGAATCTGAATTTAATTTTAAAATCTAAATGTAAAATCTAATTTGGTGCTAGCTTAAGAAAAAGGGTTTGGTGGTTATAAACTAAATGCATTGTCTGAAGGAATCTATTTTTTTTTTATAGGGGCCTGAATGCTGGTATCCCAGTAGTGCTCCAGTTTTCCTACAAGACTGTTATATTAGAAATACTTCAGCACTTTCTGGTTCTTCCCTCAAATGTTTTTTTTTTTTTTTTAGCCATAAAAAAAAAAGAATAAAGTAAAAAAAGAGAGTTTGATTGGGTTCTGTTCTGGTGGGACTCGGCAAACAACTTTCAACTTGCAGTCAGGAACTGGGATTTTGGCCGGGCTGCTGTGTTTTTAATCTCTGCAGGGTTTTGATCAGAGGGCATCCTGGGATCTGCTGCTGTGCTGGGAATCATTCCACAGGTGAGTTTTATCACATCTGCATGTCATAAGTCTCCTCACTGCCTCTTTTAAGAGGAGCTGTTCTCCATTCACTCAAGTTGAATTGTTGACCTGTGTGGTTTTCTCCTCTGTCTCTATGGTGATTTGCAAATGCTTTTTTGAAGCATTGAACCATTTGAGAAAAAATGTTTAGGAAATTAAATAATTTTTTTGAAGCTTTATTTAAAGTGACCTCTCCTGAAACAGTTTGAAGCTGCGGTCTTGTTTAGGACAAAGGAATTGCACAGAGGGATGGGGTACTCATTCATCCATGTATGATGTGCAACCTTGCTGATGGAGTCGGTGATTCCTCAGTGAAACAGAGGAATCACCTTGGTGAAAAATCAATATTGCTTTATAACTCCTGTTTTTATACCATGTTTGTTTTGAAAATATGCTGCCACACACGGGCCGTTTATAATGTTGTATTTGCCAATAAAGGTTTAGAAATGTGTTTTTGTGTAACTGAGGAGAGTTTGGGGAAATTATGGCATACTGTATACTTGGTGTGTTTGGGTAACACTCACAGAGGCTAAAAAGGGGGTGGGGAACCATCCATCCATCCTGGGTCGCGAGGGGTGTTGTTGCCTATCTCTAGCAGTCATTGGATGAGAGGCAGGGTTCACCCTGGACAGGTCGCCAGTCCATCGCAGGGCGACACAGAGACAAACAGGACAAACAACCATTCACACACACACTAACACCTACTGTAAGGGGACTGTAGAGAAGCCAATTAACCTACCTAACAGTCATGTTTTTGGACTGTGGGAGGAAGCCGGAGTACCCAAAGAGAACCCCTTGATGCTCAGGGAGAACATGCAAACTCCATGCAGAAAAACCGGGGCCGGAAATCAAACCCACAACCTTCTTGCTGCAAGGCCACTGCACCACTGAGCAGCCCGGGTGGGGAACCAATCAGGTGAATCATTCAGGAAGCAAATACTGCGTCAGACATCAGCTTTTCCATTCTGAAGCAAACATTGAAACAGTTGTTCTGTACTATGGGTTTGAAGCATGGATTGAAGCTTCAGTGCCATACTATCATTACTAGCAAAGTCTCCCTTTAAATCCAGGGAGGACCTCTGAGTGTCTCCATGACTCTGTGGCTCAAACTGTAACTGCTTTCTTTTCTCCTCCACACAACCTGCCGCTCCTGGCAGTTCAGGAACAATAACATCGTTGGAGGACCAATAATCTGCTCCTTTGCACCCGCCAACTAGCACCCATGACCCTGGAATCCCCTCACCTCTGCCCGTCAGTTTATCCCCTGCATCTCTGTAACAGCAGAATATTTAGTTTTATTCCTCCTAAAGAAATTCACTCCCCGGCCGTCTGGATACTAAAATTTCCCATGTTGCTGTTCTAGCCTGGACCCAGTTAATCGCTGAACAGTTCAAATTCCTTATCAATAAACATTACTTTACTGATCTCCTGAGTTTTTTCTGCACAGGGATCAGAAGAGTGAACAAATCCATGATAAGATTTTACCACACAGATAAATAATATGCAAAACAGATCTTTTTTTTTATAGCATGTCTCTATAATCATAATCCTCAGGGCCTGCTGTGTTGCATGTTTTATTGTATCTGTGTTAATGCCTCTGCATACCTGAAAAAGATTGCACTTTCTCCCCAGAGGCTTGTTAACCACCCATTCATTTACCAGGTGTGTGGGAGATGCAAATCAACTAAAATATGCATGACAGTGCTGGGGGACTGGATTAAAGACCCCTGGTTTAGAGTCAAACCTTTAAACAGTACTGGACTTGAAACACTTTTTTTTTCCCAAAGAGGAAAGACCTAAGCAAACAGAGTAGTTAAAGCAATCTGTTATTATCATTCAAAGCAAATCAAGTCTCAATGTGCTCCAGATAAGCTATTCCAAACCCACATATTATTACAGACATAGAAACCCACACATAACTGCATATAAATATGGATGTGTGCCTCACCAGGCCTTCCCTACACAGAGGTTCATCCACTGCTGATGCTATGGCTGCCAAACACCTGTCGACAGGTGTTTGCAGTGGCGGAATGATGCACTGTCACTTCAGTTTGGTTTTCCCCGGGTTGACAGGTGGCAGCATCCTCTCCATGACTTCTTCTAGAGAGGGGATTAATAGCAAAATGGAGGGCTTCTAACTAAAGGGCAGCAGAGGTTTGTCACAGAATTAGCCCCGTGTGTCTGTGGGTTTGAGTGAGATATGTGTTTCATTCTTTCTCTGTTTGCAGTTTTATCAAATCTGATGGATTCACCTTTCACCTCAAAGCTCATCAAATGACTGAACAACACCAATAACAGGTTAGGGGTTAGCTGCTGTTTCTTCACTTTTCTCCCAGCCCTCATGGCTGTTTGAAGCATGAAAGCATGGCAGAGGGTGTTATTGAGTTCAGCTCTACTGAGTTTGTGGATCCAGACCTCAGGTCAGCGGGTTTGCCAGACATGGTTGAGAAAACTGCTGATAGATCAAAACTCGAGCTGAACTAATTATTAATAATTATCTCACCCTGTTATACAGCCCAACACTGCTAATGAGGGGAAAACCACAGGCACAGAAGTGCAGCTCTGTTTGTGAGGCTCTCAAGAAATCTCTCTTCTCCAGTCAAAACATACTTGAACTTGAGCACTACGTGAAAATAGCACCTATCTACTCTGCAGCAGAGAGGGGAAGATTACTCTCCAGATGTCTGAATTACTTTCGCTGGCTTATCTCAAAAAAGAAACAATCGCTTAACACCCCATCTCCAATCACTGTTCCACAGCATGTTGAAAACATCTGTGTGAGAATATGGCAGCCAAAAGAGGCTACAATATTCCCCCATATTCACCAGCAGGTGTCAGATTTGTTTTAGTGTTGGATCAGATCAAAAAAGGCAGTTTCATCTTAAGATCTCCTACCTGGGAACCAATCAAGTAAAGAAAGGGAACTTCTGAGACCTTCAATCATTACATGTCTTTTTAACTGATGCATCATTAACTTATCTCTTTGTGGTATTGATTAACAGTGATGCCTCGAGTTAATCCTTAAAGGAACAAGTGCTCCTCTCAACACTTTCAGGTCTTAGAGCATATTTAAAGATGATTTCCTCCTCAGATCGATGCTTTGCCTTAGAGAGCTCAGCAGGTAAGAGACAAACATTAATGCACATAATCTTTCCATTGAACTGATTTTCATATTAATTAATTTTTACTTTGCATACAGTATCTATTAATCTTTTGCTTGGTTTCTCTACAGTTAAACATTTCAAATATCAGGCAAATTTTAATATGAGACAAATATTCTGAGAAGATGTGATTGAGGATTTCAATTGATCAGTTCACTTAAAAAAACACAAAAAATTGCTTTACAATCCAGTCTGACCCTGAGGGGAAATGTGTATCCTTCCTAATGACCTCTTATGACATCAGACATTAAAAATACTGATCAGTTATTCATCACAAAGAAGAAATTTCTTCTTAGATTTAAGTTTCTTTTTTTTTTTTATCCAACCTAATGAGGCAGCATCAAGATGAGATTTTTGCTCAAACATCAGCTAGATGACTCAGAAATAAGTCATAAACAGACAAACAAAACACAAAAAAATCAAAGTGAGTGGACTGCATGGTAAAAAGTTTTTTGAGCTCAGGGTCATTTAGTAATGGCCAGACATTTTTCTTTGGGATTGTTTGGTGCAGGGCAGGATGTGTGGCTCTTCAAGGTCTCCATGGACAATCACTTACAAGGACCATGGTGCTACCACCACAACTTTGACTGAATATATTATACTTTCCCAATTTTGTTTTTCTTTGCTATTTCATACTGTTTTTTATGTTTCTTTTTTGCTGTTGTAACAGGACATAAACCTCTGAAAGGTTTGTTGCAAATTTAAGACCAAATTCTGTGTTTCTTTTTATTAGTGGTTTAAGGCCTGGAACTCTTTTATATTATTATAATATATAATATTATTTATGGTATTTCCTGACTTCAGGAAATTGCACTTTTCAGATATGGTTCTGAATTCCTATATTATTTCCTAGAATAGTCAACAATTTAAAGCCTGGAAAAATGCTTTGTGAGCATGAAAAGATAAATGTCTTTTCCATTTGTTTCTCATGTTATATTGAGATTCTTTCAATAAATCACTTCTTGATGTGGTTTACTTTATGATGGCAGACAGTTGCTTAACTTATTTATTCTGTAGGTCAGGCAAATGGTAAATGACATGTACTTATAAAGCGCTTTTTCAAGTCAAATAACTTGACAAAAAGCTTAACTCTATTCACCCACTGATGGTGGTGAGTTACATTTTAGCCACAGCTGCCTTGGGTCTCGCTGACAAAAGCAAGGCTGCCGCATACTGACGTCAACTCTGACCACCATCAGTAGGCAATGCGGGTCAAGTGTCTTGCCCAAGGGCAAACTCCTGCATCCGACGCCACTGGACACTGGGACAAGGTTCAGTGAAATTAAACCAAACCAGCAAAAATGGGGTAAATCCCAATTACTGGGATAATGAAGTTAGCAGTATGATAAATGCTGTTTTCCCAAAGAGCCAGATTAATTTAGTTAGAATTCCCCTTTTTCTCTGAATAAAAGAATCAATAATTTGAGCACTGTAGATTTATTTTACTCAAGTTTTGGTTGAGTGATATTAATATTTGTTTCAAGATCTGAAACAGAATAAGACTGCAGGAATATTTGTCTTTCAATGAACAAATAAGCTCTATTTCTGCTGCCTGGGTGATATTTATCTTAACTTACTTCTTTGTCTAGACTTCTTTATTTTTCATTCTACACTGTTTTGATTGACAATTTGAGCAGCAAAACATCACATGTTGTATTTTTATTCATATTAACCACATGTGTTTGTTGCAAAGCTGTTGTCCACCTGCTTTAATAAGTAATCGATTGTTTGGAAAATAATTCAGCTGGCCAGAGACAAAATATATATTACACTTGGATAGAATGAAGGGAGGACTTATCTCAGAGTCTTATCCCAACCCTAGAAAGGTGCCCTCCTTTCCCAGGAGGTTTTACCACTTCCCCTTCCAACGGGGTTCTGGGACCAAGACAAGGTCCCTGGACTGACCAGTTAAATATTCACAGATGTTTTTGTTTTATTATAGTTCATATTGTTTGATGTATTGTTAGTGTTCAGGTGACAAAAGAAATCAAATGTCTTGTTTCAGATGCCACTTAATGAGTTAAAAATCATATCTATCAATATCAATGGGTTGATACTCTGATTTAAAGAAATTAGGCAGATAATATGTTGAAAAAAGAAAAAGGCAGAATTTATTTATATGAAAGAAACACATCTTTCAGATGTAGAACATCAAAACTTGAAATATATGGGATTTAGGAACACCTTTTTTAATTCAATTAAAATGGGCGTCAAAAGAGGAGATGTAATTTTAATTACCAGTAAAACTAAGTCTGGATGTTTAAGACAAATAAAAGACGAAGAAGCTAGATATGTGATGTTACAGGGTAGGGGGAAGAATATTTGGTTACATTATTTAATATATATTATACCACAGAGACAGAAAAATATTTTTATAAATTGACATTTGATAAAATTTCACAGGAAATAGACGGAAAATTGTGATTTGTGGAGGAGACTTGAATATTGTTCTAAATCCCTTCTTGGATTCCACCTGTATAGTAAAAAGTAGTAAAACACACATAACCTGCTACATACAGTAGATACATCCTTGAAGGAATTATGGGTAATAGATGTCTGAAAAGAGTCATATTACACTAACGATAGATTATACATTCTATTCTGACCCACATTCATTGTATACATGGATAGATTATTTTTTGTGAAAGTTGACAATTTAGAATCCTAGAATGTAAGATAAGACCAGCTGACCTTTCTGATCATTGTTATCAACACTTTAAAAAAATCTAACCAAAAAGACCAAGAATACAACTTGGAAGCTGAATTTGGGAATTTTAAATAACCAAGAACTATTGGAAAAAATAAAAGAAATAAAAATATAAAAAGATATAAAAAAGATATATATATATAAAAAAGAAAAATGGGAGAGATAGATCCAACTATATTGTAAACTATAGAAGCTGTACTCAGTGATACATTAATTTATTTTGCTTCATACAATTAAAAAATAAAAACTTAGAGAATATCAAGAAACCATAAACGAACCAGGAACTTTGAAACAACTAAATAAAAGAATAAATGATGTCAATACTTTGGGTAAAATAAGGAAAGTTAGAATTAAGATTGACAACACATAAACAATAGAAGTCGAAAAGAAAATCTAATTCTTAAAACAATAAAGGTGTACGAAGAGCAAACCAATCCTCTGCAAGACAATTAAGAAATAAAAAAACATTGATACAAATAATGAAATTAGATGTCTTGTATACAAATAAGAAGAGATTGAAAAGGTACAAATTTGTACTCTTAACCTGGATCAGCAGACACCAAAATTATTAAACTCAATAGATCTTCCTTATATAGGAAAGTCATAAAATGTATTACTATGTGGACACATTTCAGAAAGAAACATTAAAAACTAAAAGAAAGGAATGAAAGCTTATAAAACCATTGATGGATTTTCTTTAGAATAGTATAAGACCTATAAAAAAAACTAAACCTGATGCTGTTGGCATCATTTAACCAAATGGAAAACACCCTCCATAAAGAAGTGGTTATCATTATCATTATACCTAAAGAAGGTACAAATAAAGACAATTGTGAAATTATAGACCAATATCAATATTAAATTGTGATTATAAGAAAAACATCACCATTCTCTCCAATAGATTTCAAAGTTTTCTATCAAATTTAATAGATGAGGATCAGTCCGGCTTTATAGACTGATGACAAACCCAAAGCAACATAAGAAGAACCCTTCATGTGATGAAAAAAGTACAAACTATTAAAGAAAAAGCAAAGTTTAGATGCAGAGAAAGCTTCTGATAGTTTCAGTTGGAAGTTTTTGTATTTTTGTCTGGAAAGATTGAACTGAAGGGCGTTAAGTGAACATTTAACACAAAATATGATCAAAAACTTTCTGTTGAAGCTGTTTCCTGTGCTCATATATATATATATATATATATATATATATATATATATATATAAATATATATATATATATATATATATATATATATATATATATATATATATATATATATATATATATATATATATATATATATATATATATATATATATATATATATATATATATATATTTATATATATGCATGCACATATGCCAACAAGATCCCTACACCCATTAGAAAGTACTGGAAGATGTGGCATACAATGCTAATGATGCAGTGACTTTAATTACTGTGATTTTGCCTGCTGTAATTACTTCCATCCTCTTTGCTTATAAAGGACACATTCTTACTGCCTTGAAGGCTCTAAAATATCTGAAATGTGGAAAAGGGAACAAGTAGGCTCTTTGAGCTTAAAATAGGAAATTCTTTAAAGGCAGTCAATGCTCTTTGAGGGGTGAAGGGTGTCTTTGAGAAAGAACAAATGGAAGACAAGTTACACTGATAGCGACGGCTTCCCACTGATTTCAAAAATCTTTTCATTTGCTTAGAGGTGTGGCGCTCAGTCTGACCCCAAATCAAAGATAGGTGCCACTTAGAAACAAAGTGGGTTGCTTTTGTTCTTTTGTAATTGCTTATCTGCTGCCGCTCTCAGTGGCTCTGTGAGAGATGAGGCTCATGAACGAGACAAGTTGGTCTCCACTTGCTTCTTTTGCTACTGCAGGTGACTGATAAACACATTTAGTCTCATCTTTCTCCTCTACAGTGGTTTCATCCTGTGATTTGAATTACTCGAGCATCTTTACACAGCAGCCAGAGCCCCACATGACTTTTCTGTCCTCGGCTTCAGAGCGCTGTGGACAGAGCAGATTTCTAAATGACAGTAGCAAAGTTCAACCGCTATAGTTTTATCCAAGAGCTTACATACATGTATAATGGACCAGAAGGCCAGTGTTGTTTATTTTCAAGGATAATATAAACAAATTAAAAATATTAGTGGATGATGGTGAGCCAGAAAGAATTGCTGTTTAGTATATATATTTTTTAAAATCTTTCTGTTGAAGTATGGTTGAAAAAGCAATGTCTGGCTTTCATTCTTTTCATTTTGATAGAATTTGTATTTATTATTGCGTTTTGTCACATTCCAGTCATTTCTGTGACCATTATGGGTTATGCTTTCATTAAACGAGGGGTACCAACGATTTTTTAAATGTCTTTTTTTTTAAATAAATCTACAGCATTTGAAAAATACATTTTTCAACATTATTATAATGAAATATTTTTTACTGGATTATGAGGACAGATCTTAGTTTGATATTATTTGGAATAAAGGCTGTAAGGTCACTAGATGTGGAAAAAAAATGGTGCTGTGAATGCTTATCAGATGCAATGTTTTTTATGTTGAAAAGCTTCAAAATCTCTCCAGAAAAAATCTAAATGTTTACCTCTTGCTTTCTCAGGCTTAAAAATGCCGGTGGAATGCAAGCTGAAACTGGAGGAGGACAGGGAGTCCGGCATTGGATCCACCATTGACCTGACAGGCAGCTCTGAGGGTGAACATCCCAGTCGCCTGTTCACTGTTCTGTCAATAAACACCCCTGACAGAGGTGAATGGCACTTTCATCTTTTGGTTTGGCAGCCAATTTTATTTCCCTAGAAATGGATTTCTGGTCGATACGATGCATTCTTAAGAATTATGCAAAATTTCAACAGGATTATCTGGGTCTCAAGTCACACAGCAGGTGTTAGACTGCATATGTAGTACGTTTGGAGGCTTTGTTCTCATGCAAGAGCTAAACGTGAATATCACAGGAAAAATGGGTTTAACGACTGTATGCTTTTATCTATGTATATAAAATAGGAAAATAGGTCAGTGTGGATCTGTTTATGCCCGACTGCAACTCTCAACATCTCCCTGCAGAAAGTTCTCAGCACGCTACAGCTGGCAGTCCAGGCAAGATCAAGCAGCTCCTTATCAAGCTGTCAAAGATCCCTCTCCTTTTCATCCTCCTCTACTTCTTCATTTGCTCTTTGGACACGCTGAGCTCTGCCTTCCAGTTGGCAGGGGGTAAGTATAACCCTCATTGTGGGCTGCCTGTGACTCAGCTAGCTAATGTGTCACAAAGGAGTGACTCAGATAGGGGCCATTCACAGTCCTACCGTATCATTTACTGCCAAGCTTCATCTGGTGACCTTCTTGAATGAGAGGAAACAAGCAGTCTGAGTGTTGCTCAATTCTGCTCCTGATGGGACATTTGTCACAACTTATTTCTTTTGTTTGTTCTGTTTGTCTTTTGTATTTTCCCCCATGTGTGTGGGTGGGACTTTTGCCCAGGTAAAGTGGCAGGAGACATTTTCCGAGACAATGCCGTGCTTTCCAACCCTGTGGCAGGGCTGGTGGTGGGGATCCTTGTTACCGTCTTGGTTCAGAGCTCATCTACCTCCACCTCCATTGTTGTCAGTCTGGTGGCCTCAGGATGTGAGTAGGCGCATAAAAACGAGTGTGAAGAGTGCTGGAATATGAAATGGTTAAAAATTGTAAATATCATTTTGAAATGAAAAGAACAAAGAAATATAACCAGCCTCAAATGTAGTTTGCATTTTTACTGCATTGTGTAAATATCTCCAGGCAATTCATTTGCATGCATAGATAACACAATATGTGGACCAATATTTAGGCAGCAAAATAACCCTGAGACTCATGAACTATCTTTGCACGTTTCACATAATAGAACATTGAAAACTGACTCCACAGCATTAAGTTTTATGATTAAATTCTATTAAAAAAGCTAATGGAATCTAAATTAATGTAGCTAATTTTGCCAATACTATATGCACACATTAGATCAAATTAATATGTGTGACCAAGGAGGCATATTTAATCCTTTTGATATGAAAATACATGCAGCGCTGTAATTAGGCATTAATCTGATGCTTTTCCTATCTTGATATCTAATTAAAGACATTAACTGGCCCATATAACCTCACACAAACATCCAAACGTACTTTATGTACTCTTCAAAGTTTAATATACCACAACCTTATAGATAACAACAACATTATTTGCTCTATAGTTAAGAAAATATTATTAATTTGCAATTTACTGTTGTCTATGTTGAAAATTATTGGAAATGTAGAAGAGTGAGCAGTGACTGTGTTTATGTACTGAAACAACAGGTGTTTATTCACTTAGGTTCACATTATGATAAGTGTGGTGGCAAAAGCGGGAACTGCATTTAGAAAAAAACAAACTGACAAAAAACTGTGCAATTAATCTCTGCTAAAAACAAACAAACAGTAACAACAAACATATGAGGAACAGTCTAACAGCAGATCCTGGCAGCAGCAAATAAATGTATTTAAGTGCTGTTTTGTTTACATATGTAGACATAATCATTGATATTTACCATGGTGTTTTTCTCTATTTTGAAGTTAGAGTGAATTCCCTTGTAAGACTGAAATAGCTGTCTAAGGCCTTTAGAAAGAATATTATAGGAGATTGAGTCTGGCAGGGGTTTAAAGAGGTATCTAAAGAACTTTAAATCAGTCACTGTTTAGAAAGGTGTTGGAAGCATTTTAAATAAATGCCCAGATATCCAGGGCTGGGTGTCCAAGCATTACCACCCTGCAAGAAGACCAAAACACTACAGAAAGTCTCCAAACCCCTTTAAATGTAATCACAGGTGCTATCAGGGCTGTTCTATTCTAACTCGAGTCTCAAATGTCCTACATTTTAAATTTCCCCCTGGGTCAACACACCCACATCAAATGATTAGAAAACCTTTCAGGTCAACTCTGTTGTAACAAGGACACATTCAAAGCTTTGAAGACTTGAGTTGGATGTCCCTGTATTCAGGTATAGGGTGCACTTACTTTCTTCCCCATTAGATACAGATTTTGATAGAAATATTTTGTTTGATGAGTAAAGCAAAGATGCAATTTATATTTCACCCCTCATTAAACTTCATTCATTGCAGAGAATAAAAAAGGAGCTTTTTTAAAAAGAATATGTAAATTATAAAATGTGTAAATCAGGAAATTGTTTATGTACCAAGTTTAATGATTGTTGTTCTCTACTTCAAAAACAATTTAGATTTTAAAAAGGGAAAATTTTCTATTTTTTTTTTTTTTATTCAAAATTCAATGTATAAAATGGATGCATAAAAACCTCATTTTATTTCAGTGTTAAATTCTGTTTTAAGTAATGGGTTATAATTTAAACTGTCTCCGGACCTTTACTGGTTGATGATTTTCTTTATTCAGACCAACTGATTTTTCATTGCTTACAACTGACCAAAAACATACCCTCCCCACCATAAAATATGCCAGTGGAAGAGCCATATTTAGTTATACGACTACTTGAGATAGGGAAGCCATCAGCAATCATAGAAAGACAGATGGGGCTAAATAAAGGACCATACTGGAAGTAAACTATTACAGGGCTGCAAAAAGGGATTTTAAGTGTCATTCACCGGAGGAAAATAATTGTAACTTGATCCTCCAGAGAAGTATTAATGACAATAAAAATATGAGAAAATAAAAGAACAAATCTAATAAAAGTTACATTCATGAATGTCCATGTATTAGAATAGCCTAGTTAAAGCCCAGACCTCAATCAATGCAAGAATCCGGAAGCTTTTCCTTGTAAGAAATTTTTATCAGCTCAGGCTCTACAATCAGTCTGTAAAATCAATGACATCAGAAGTTGGCACTTTGTGTGGATGTTTGTCTCCATGATGTGTCCTCTATGTTCTCACCATTAAAGAGCCACTCCACATTAACCTCTCTTCCTGCAACAGAACCTCTAAAGCCGAAATTACATCCATCTCGTCACCATTAAATAACTCATGTTGCATTTAGAGAAGACTAGGTCATGTACCCAAATTATTCCTGCCATTCACTGCTATTCAACTTAAGCTTAGACATTTAACTGCAAACCATCTCCTTTTGTATTTGCACAGTGCGTTATAATGACTTGGAGACGAAATATAAAATCCTATTCTCTCTCTCTCTCCTTGCAGTGTTGGAGGTGAAGTTGGCAGTTCCAGTTATCATGGGCTCCAATATTGGAACCTCAGTCACAAACACCATAGTGGCCATGATGCAGGCCGCGGAGAGAAATGAATTTCAACGGTGAGTGAACGAATATAGTGAGTCAAAGAATGGATGACATATGGGAGCAGGGAAGGAGAAACTGAAATGGACAGGGCATGATAATATAGAAGGAAATAAAGTGCATTGATGAAAGCAGAGTTGGAGAGCAGGCGGAGAGAGAGAGAGCACTGGCAGCTGTTGGCTGCTTCATAAGCTCTGTTTCAGTATAAAAGTGACAATAATGGCATGCATCCAGTCTAATTCCCCACCAACAAATATCTGTCCTGAAATGATAACAGACTGAACAGATGGCATATAATTTCATCCTAATGATTAAATTGTCATTTTCTTTTACCAACATTTGATAATAAACAAGTTCACAGAGTAAAAAAAAAAAAAAAAAGGTTATTATATCACCTACATTGAGAAAAGTGCACCAGTAGAAATCAGATTAACATGTAATTAGTCAAAGTAGATGATAAGCCTGATGCTGAGTGACCTTACTGAGCAGAGCTAATGACTGCGACCCACAGGGCTTTTGCTGGAGCAACGGTCCACGACTGCTTCAACTGGCTTTCGGTGCTGGTGCTGTTGCCTCTGGAGGTGATGAGTGGCATCATCACACGTCTGTCCCAACAGCTGGTCAGCGTCTTTAAACTGCAGGCTGAGGAGGAAGCACCTGAGCTCCTTAAGATCATCACTGAGCCACTTACAAAACTCATTATTCAGGTAAAAACCAGCAGTTGATCTTTTTTTTTCTTGTGCAAATATCCTGATTTATAAAACACTCACGCTGCTGCTGCCCTGTCGCCGTTTATTACACAAAATGTTTTGTGCATAGGGGATTAGATATTAAAAAGGGCACATGCTAGTTTAAGGATGTCCTTCATTTGGGGGCAGTTTAAATAAAGAAAAAAAGTCTTGATTGAAATCAGCAGATGATTATTAATCTAATCTTTAGAAGCTTTTTCCTTTTTCTGCTAATATATACTATAATAATAAAAAACTAAAAATTAATTGGATGGATGGATGGATGGATGGATGGATGGATGGATGGATGGATGGATGGATGGATGGATGGATGGATTGAAAGTGGTGTGTGACGACAGTACTGTAAGAAAATGTTTGATAATATAATTTTGTAGCTCAATTGACAAATTAGGTCAATGTAGGTCAATGAGGAGATACTGACTTTCCTAAAGCAAAAATGTATGATCGTAAAAGCATTTGCAGTATGTTATATAACCCATATATAAATAAGAAATATATTGTTAAGATTGGATAATGTTGGATCTTAGTTTAGCTTAACATACAGTTTCAAATTGTGGAACTCAGCGCTGCACATGCAAAGAGGAAAGCTGTTAATTGAATAAGATGTTTTATTTCATACCTGGCGAACACATCAATGTTTTAACTGGCAGCAAAATGAACTCAAAGTGACTGGTAAAAAGTAGAAGATAATCTAAAATCCTTGAATTTAACAGCCAAAAAAAAAAAAACGTGCTGAAAAAATGTCTACTTTCACCCTCAGCTGGATAAATGTGTGATCACAGAGATCGCATTGGGAAATGAGGGTTTGAGGAACCGGAGCTTGGTGAAAGAGTGGTGCCTGACTGACACCGCGTTGGTAATAGCCGGTTCACTGCACAAAAACACATTCTGAAGTATAAAGATACCTTTTATGAAACCCTCCATCTTTCTTTCTTTAGTCTGCTGCCAATAGAAGCGTTATAAACTGTGAACTTGGTTCTGAATCACTGTCAACACATGTCAAGTGTGAGTTTGTAGTGTTTCTATTAAATATTTAGTTTTCTTTAAAATTAAAGTTAAAACCCACCGGTAGAAAAAATTCTAATATTACTGGCATCCGGCTCTTTGTAGGCCGACATTTGTTTGCATCTACAGAGCTGTCAGATCTCACAGTAGGCCTCATCCTCCTGGCTGCCTCCCTGGCTGCTCTCTGCACGTGTTTGCTGCTTTTGGTCAAACTGCTTAACTCGCTTCTTCAAGGCCAAGTGGCAAAGGTCATCCATAAAGTTATTAACACAGGTGAGTCAACTCTCCAGGTCATTGTATGATTATATTTCAATTCAGGTGAGTAAACTTGGGGTAAAAAAAGACTATAAGGCTTTTTTTTAGGATTCAAGGTATATCAGGTTGTTCCATTACACCTTGGTTTCACTGCTGATCATTTTCTGTAATTTCTCTCTGTTACTTGTTCTCCAACAGACCTCCCACATCCATTTGGTTGGCTGGCAGGTTATATTGCCATGTTTGTAGGTGCAGTTGTTACATTTGTTGTCCAGAGTAGCTCCGTTTTCACCTCAACAATGACTCCACTAGTAGGTGAGTAACATGTCTTTATTCCACATAAATATAGCTAAAATTAAATTTTTTATATGTATTTTTGAAATATGTGGAACTGAAATTACAAGAAAAGGAAAAAGTCTCAGTTCCTCTGATTTAAAAATTTTAACATACTGCAAAATTAAATGATAGAAACTAATTAAAATGATACATCTCAGTTAATTTTCTCTGCCGCCTACATTTCCAAGCAGGCAACAGAAGGACAAGTGACGTGTTTATAAATGAAATATCTTTTGTTTAAAAAGTATTATTAACATTCAGTGCACCTTTCAATGGGATTTTGTTACAAACAAGCGAATTGCTTATTTGTGTCACAAAATTAAAATGTAATATTATATGGGGAAAAAACCTAATGTATGACTGTGAGCTTAATCTTCTCTAACAATTGTACCAGTTTAACTTTAATATTTAGGCCTCTGGCTAGATCTGGCTTTGCTTCACCTCTTGTATAGTTCTACATTTAGTTACAAATTAAATTAATATCGCTTTAAACTTTTTTTATCAATCACTTAATTGCTTTACTTTCTCAGTAAGAAAAAAAATGGATAATAATGCAAATATTGCTACGAATTTTTGACCAATTGCAAAAAAAATTAATAAAAATAAAATAAAATCACATCTACTAATCTCCATCCACAGTTGTTATGTATATAACAGTCTGTGTAGGTTTATTCTTTAAAGGCCCTCCAGATTCCACTGTTTACCACCATGTTGTCCTGGCTCACGGCATCCTTCAGATGACAATTTCAATGGTTATTATATATATTTAAGATTATTAGACATTTTTGTTTTCCTGACTATTTAAAACAATAACTGATGCAATTTACAGTAGCTCCTCAAAATGTTTTGGACACGCAAAATTCGATAAGAAAATAGAATATTCTTAGTTTAAATATAAAGCATCTACTGATTAGAATGTCTTTTTCCTTTCTTCACTCTCTAACCTCTATGTGTTTAAGTAGTCCCTTGCTACACCTCTTTAAAATATGTTAAACAGTTTTGAACTCTTTTTTTCTATAATAGCTGTTATAATAATTTGCTAGTTCTTTATGGAGAGCTCTGTTTGTTTTAATATATAGTGTGATTGATTGGGTGGTAATTTGTTTATTTATGTGTTTTCTTGTACTGTTACTTCTGTCTTGTTTATCTGTTTTGTTTGTATTTTAAACACCTTAAAAAATAAGTTCCTCATTTGAAAATAAATATATTGCTTAATGTGTCATTGAAATTAATAAATTCACAAATAAAGTAATAACTTCATTTAAATCATAATAATTATATACCTCTTTAAAAAAACACAGCAGAAAACAAACAATATGTTAATTGTAAACTTATATCTTCAGCGCACCTGCAACAATTCCAAAATCCCCAAATAAAACACAGAAGTTTTACAATTTAATGGAAACATTGAAAATGAATTTGCAGCAGAAGATAAGGGATGAGGCAATATCCCATGGGATGCAATAAAAATGACATGGAAAGTCACTTAGGAAAGGCTTTATTTAGATTTCCTTTTCTGTTTCTAAAGATCTGAGAAACAGACTCAGTGACAACAACCTCAAATAACTGGTGCTTATATCATCTAGTTTTAAATAATGTGCCATTCAGATGGGCAATCATTTTGTAACCTACAGCTAAACATGTTTTTTGTTGGGTAAATGTATGATCTGATATATCCTGTTTGTTTTTTCTTTTTTCTTTTAAATGTACTTGTCCAGTAAGCCCATAAGTTATTACAGCTTGTTAATTGCTTACAGATTCCTCCCATCTGGACCCCAAAACTTCAGCAAATCCACATCTATAGGAAGCTGTTTTCATTTAAAATGTGAAAGTTGCGACTGTGCTGATTTGGATCAGAGACAAAATTATTAGATAATTTTTACATTCATCTCGAAATTATTTCTTAAAAAAAAAAAAAAAAAAAATATATATATATATATATATATATATATATATATATATATATATATATATATATATATATATATATATATATATATATATATATATATATATATATATATATATATTTTTTTTTTTTTTTTTTCCTACTTGTAAGTTTTGCAGACGGAGGCAGAAACCTTGTGGACTTCAAATAGCCAGTGAGGCACAGAAAATGCACCAAAAGAGAAAAAAAAAACATCAGACAGGATCCAAAAATTGTAGAGCTCTGTTTTTATATATATATTTGCAAAAAATAAATAAATAAATAAATAAACTTCCTGCATTTAAAAGCAGAGAGGCAAGGGTCCCACTCTCTTCTACTACAGCAAAAGCACACCCTGAAAAAAAAGACACACCCACATTTAAACAACCCAGCTTTCTAACGTATCAGCCTGTACCATCTCTAAGGTGGAAACTTTGACAACATTTACATTTTCTGTTTAGGAAGCAATTAACTAAATTAAACCTCTAGAGGAAAAAAACAAAACAAAACAAAAACAAAAAAACATTTACATTTAACTTGAACAAATTGAAGCTAAACAACACTCCAAACAAATCCATACAAAACCCAAAACATCTCCCTCTCAGTGTGGATTTCCCTTATGAGGCTGATTGGAACCCGTCCCCCCCCCCCCCCCCAAAAGCACATAACTTTCTTTGATCAAATATACATTTTAGACCATGACCTCTAAAAGGACATTTACTGAAAAAGCAATGAATTTTCCTTTTGAGGAAGAAATAACTGTTTTGTTTTTTTTTGTTTTTTTTTTTCTTTTTATGATGGATTTGTAGTTAAATAAAGACATACGTCTGGTTTGCCTTCACTGACAGTCTTTTGAAATTCTTAAGAACACTTTTTGACAGGCAACTTCTGTGGACGACTAAAGAAAGCATATAAAATCAACGATTACTGAGTCATCGGCCTGCAACACAGTGATAAATATGAGATCAGAATAATCCCCACTTCTAAGAGAGGTAATTAGCAGGGCTTAAAATGAAAAGGCAAAATGCGAAAATAGATTTCTGCTTGTCCTGCATATTGGATTTCAGCTCTAGCTCCCAGCTCCCAGTCTGTGTGTTACCACATTGTAGAATTATATAATGGAAAGGAAACTGCAAATGAAGAGAAGAGAGCCATCACTGGCTTCCTTCATAAAGCTTGTTTTCTTATCTGCTAGGAATTGGTATCATCAGTCTGGAGCGGGCCTACCCTCTAACATTGGGCTCTAACATCGGCACCACAGCCACAGCTTTACTGGCAGCTCTGGCCAGTCCTGGAAACAAACTAGCAGCTTCCATACAGGTTCGCTTCTGTTTTATTAGATATAATAATTTATATGATAGGAAGTTTTTATAGCAAAGAGGCAATAAATAGTCCTGGTTTCAACTGTTTACCCTTTTTTGGCCCTAGATTGCTCTCTGCCATCTCTTCTTCAATGTTTTTGGCATCCTGCTGTGGTATCCTATTCCATTCATGCGTCTGCCAATAAGGATGGCTTATGTTCTGGGTGAGCGCACCGCCAAATACCGCTGGTTTGCCGTATTGTACCTCCTCCTCTGTTTCCTGCTGCTTCCTTCCCTGGTGCTGGCCCTCTCGCTGGCCGGCTGGAGGGTGATGGCTGGAGTCGGGGGTCCTTTTCTGGGTGTCACTATCTTCATTGCTGCTGTAAATATGGCGCAGGCCCACAGCCCTCAGCATCTGCCTACTAAACTCCGGACTTGGGACTTCCTACCTAAGTGGATGCATTCTCTCAAACCCCTTGACCGCTTGATCACCAAGGCCACTATTTGTTGCAGTTTTACTTGTAAAGCAGTACAGAATGAAGATGAGGGGGATGAAGAGCAGATCTCACCACACATAATGCCTGTTAGAATACAGGATGAGTTGCCTTCGCCTAAGGGAAAAGAAAAACTAGCTTATAGTAACCCAGTTCTGGACTGCTTGGAGGAGATCCGGCCAGGTGTGGCAGTTTTTAAACTGAAAGGGTTGGAGAGATGCAACAGTACTCCACTGTAGTCAGATTAATAATAATAATAAAAAAAAAAAATCACTTTTTACTAAACTGTGAGAAGCAAAAATTTATTAAAAATATGCTTTCTTCTTTTGTTTCTGAGACAAAAGCAGATTATTTTCCTGAAGCCTTTGTAAATGCATGTGTCTTAGGATAAACCAAACAACCTTAAATACACTTTAACAAAGGTAAGAAAGATAAAAATATTTCCCTTTAGTTAACTCTTCCCTACGTTCTCTGCATCACAATATAAATATATTATATTATGTGTTTGTTAAAGCAGAACCTTTCTCTTTAGAATTTTATAACTATTCAAAGCGACAGTTACATCCATAATCATTTACATTATTATCCCTCCTAAGACAGGATGACTGCAGACATCTTTTTTGAAGTCTATATTATTTAGCTAATATTTTTCTTTACCTGCCCAGGATACCAAAATTGTTATGCTTCTTAGGAAAATCTTGCAAAAACAGATTAAAGCTGTCAAGATAGGCCTCAATTTTACAATATTACAACAATCTGTAATACCAAAAAACAAAACAAAACAAAATGTTTAAAAAACTATTAAGCTTCTTTTATTTGTTTCTGGAGTAAAGCTTGTTAGGTACAGTTATGTTTATATTTAGGTTTCTGTTCGGCCCCCAGCTGTGCTGTTGGTGGACCAGAGGGGAAGCTAAACAGAGTATTTGTTTTTCCTATACCATTCATTACAGTAAATCTTAAAAAAAAAAAAAAACAAATGTCTGGCATCCGATCTGTGCATGACTGGATGGCTAATAGAGGAGCTGTGACAAATCAGTAAAGCATTTAGTAGAACAGAATTTTAAGTCCATCTGTTTGTACTTCAATACTAATTTAAAATCAGTTAAGATTCGACACAGAAGATTACTTAATAAAGAACTGAATATTAAATTCACATAGGGCTGCACAGTGGTGCAGGTTGAAGCACTGTGGCCTGGCAGCAAGAAGGTTCTGAGTTGGATTCCTGTCCCGGGGTCTCCCGATGCATGTGTGGGGTCTTTCCAGGTACTCCAGAAAAATGATTGCTAAGGGAATTTGCTTCTCTAAACTGTCCTTAGTTGTGGGTGTGTTTGTGCGCATGGTTGCCTGTCTTTGTTTGTTTCTATGTTGCCATACCATACCATACCAACTTTATTTATTAAGCACTTTATACACCGGACAGGACCAAAGTGCTGAACACAATCATAAAATACAATAAAATTATAAAATAGAGAAAAAACGAGTGTAAAATACATATTAGTAAACAAAAAGAATAAAACAAAGTAAAACCTCTCAAATTGTGCCAAAAGCCAAGGAAAAAAGATAAGTCTTAAGAAGGGACTTAAAAACAGCAAGAGAAGAGGCCTGTCTTATGCCTTACGATAGAGTGGCAACCTGTTCAGGGTCAACCACACCTATCACCCATAGACTGCCGGAGATAGGCACCCGCCCCAACACGACTCTGATGGAATAAGTAGGAGTAGATAGATGGTTGGATGAATTGTTTTTTTTTTTTAATCAGATTTTAGCAAAAATATTGAAGGAGCACCCTTTTTCTCTAATGTTCAAGTTCATATTTATTAAACATTTCCAGACAAAAAAAGTGCTACTCAAAAATGGACAGTTATCCAGCACTCACATCTTTATTGTAATGACATTAACAAGACATTTGAATATTAAAATATTATGTTTAACAGACCTGACACTTTTGTGATGTTTCCTTTCAAATCAATAAATGACAGCATTTTAAGACCACTCTATTCTAACAACTTGACAGTCCTTACGGATCTTATTTTAGATCAAGGAGACATGAAAGTGCAGAAATGGAAGTGACATCCATCAAAGGGTGATGATGAGGCCAGCACTGCATGAAAAGTGGGATTTTCGTCAATATACGGCACTGTAGATTGTCGTGGAACTTCAGGTTAGCGGCAGTTTACGGCAATTTGCAGGCCTTGCCGTAAACTCCCGTAAATTGTCAGAAATTGACGTGGAATTTCTTAGGCAGTGTTCCCCCCATGCCTCCCCCCCATGGAATTCTAGGGGAGGCTTTAACATGTAAATGAACATGCTGTGAGCTATACAAATGCAAACCAGGGTTGCAGGGGGGGTTTTACCCCCCCTGCAACCCTGGGTAAGAAAATCTCTGATACAAAGAGATCAGGTATCGGTCTTTGTCAGCCACGTGACTGACACGCCCCCTAGCGCCATTTTTGTGGTGAGCGGAAGAAAAACAAAACAGCAGAAAACAAGAGGAGAGCGCTGCAAGCCAGCAGCGAGGATTATCAGTTAAATGGAAAAGAACAAGAAAACTGAACGGATACCCTACCCAGACAAACTTTCTAAAGCTGCTAGGGAACGATATTATATATTATTATTACAGTGACAAGGCAGATGTTGTGGGCAGTTGCACAGATCGCTGCAGTTATTAGAGTAGTTTGTGCTGCTCATCAGACTGAACGGAAAAACTTGTCCGAATTTTTGCACATTGATAAGTTGCACACTGTATTTGCTGTTCACTTTACCCAGGCCTGTTTTCACTGGGATCTGCAGTCTTCTTCACAGATATCACCTGTTAGGTCATATCTCTACGGAAGACCACAGTGAAAACAAGTCCAGGGAAAATGAAAATCTTCTAATTTAATCTAAAGAGCAATCTGCTATATACGAGGGAGGAAGACAAAGTAAAACATTTGAAGCTTTGCACTGTTCTGCATTATTTATGTATTTGAGATTTTGTATTGCATTTTCATAACTTCTCTGCTTGATTGAAAAGATAATAACAACGCTTGTTTCAAATTTCAAACTCCACTCTTTATTGTACACACATTTTTACAACTTCAGAAACATTGTTAATATTTGAAGTGATGGTGAAACTTATATTTGTTTTGCTGTTATTTTTCAAAAGTAACTTTAAAAAAAGCAAAATTCTATTTGTGTGAAAAGAAGAATAAAAAATGAAGAAGAAAGTTGAAACAGTACTTGATCTGGCATTCATTTATTAGCTGGTTTCTCTGTGAAAATTTCAAAACAGTCACTAATCACTGTGACTCTATGTCCAAAGGCTTCCACAAACGGATGAGGCATAATTTTGTGCAAGGTGTCTCTATCTGGCCACACAATTGCACGCTTTAGATTTGCATATAAAAATGACACCATTTCATTGAATGTTCTGTACACTGTCTTTGGTGAAACACAGAAGAGATAAGCAAGGTGTTGTGAGGGCAGATCCAATCTCAGACGCATGAAGGTTAACAGAAGCATTTGAAATGGACTGAGAATTTTATTTTGAGCAGACATGAGAGGCAGCATAAAATTAAACAAAGCCATAAAGGTCACCAAGTTTGGTAGACCCGTATAGTACTGGACTTTTTCATTAGTGTCTCCAAAGAAGCAATCAGAGATCCGCAGCTCATCAAGTTCACGCCGCAGCTCTCTGTTTTCTTCCAAAAGACGGTTCATCTCTGCACACCTGAGCACACACAGGTTACATTCTGTCTGTCCTTCCTGACGACCACCTTCTGTGTCATCCTTGGTGTTTGGCCGGCCAACGTTTTCAGCAGCCTTCTGCGTGTCAGTCTGTTGCTGGTTAGGGTTCTCTGTCGCCTCATGTGTTACTTCATCCTGTTGCTCAAGGATTTCATCAGCCCGATGGAGCCCCGTTTCAGTTGCTTGCAGGGCATTCTTTTTCAGCTGTTCCCGATAACCACGTCTTAAAGAGCGGTCTGTGTCTGTTGGTTTGATGTCAGTGTGGCCCAGATGCAGGGATGGAGCCCAGTCTGGGTCAGTCTTCATCATCTCATATGCGGGTTGACCTGCAAAGTAGATGAAAGGTTGAGTGTTTTACACATCTATTCAAAACACTATATAAAGCACCTAAATAACAGAGCCCATTAGATTAGATGTGTAATAAATTAAGATAACCTTATGTGTCCCACAGTGGGGAAATTTGCTATACCGAAACAGCACAAGTACATCGGACTAGTAAGGCCAGAGGTAAATAAATAAACTGAAAAGCTTACAGACGAACAAAGGATTATAATATACTTAAGTAGATTGCACAGGATAAATAAATACAGTGAGTTGGCTGACGAGTGGGTATGTACAGTGTTTTTATATGTACAGTGTATTTACATATACACTATATTGCCAAAAGTATTTGCTCACCTGCCTTGACTCACATATGAGCTTAAGTGACATCCCGTTCCTAATCCATAGGGTTCAATATGACGTCGGTCCACCCTTTGCAGCTAGAACAGCTTCAACTCTTCTGGGAAGGCTGTCCACAAGGTTTAGGAGTGTGTTTATGGGAATTTTTGACCATTCTTCCAGAAGCGCATTTGTGAGGTCGCACACTGATGTTGGACGAGAAGGCCTGGCTCTCAGTCTCCGCTCTAATTCATCCCAAAGGTGTTCTATCGGGTTGAGGTCAGGACTCTGTGCAGGCCAGTCAAGTTCATCCACACCAGACTCTGTCATCCATGTCTTTATGGACCTTGCTTTGTGCACTGGTGCACAGTCATGTTGGAAGAGGAAGGGGCCAGCTCCAAACTGTTCCCACAAAGTTGTTGGGAGCATGGAATTGTCCAAAATGTCTTGGTATGCTGAAGCATTCAGAGTTCCTTTCACTGGAACTAAGGGGCCAAGCCCAGCTCCTGAAAAACAACCCCACACCATAATCCCCCCTCCACCAAACTTTACACTTGGCACAATGCAGTCAGACAAGTACCGTTCTCCTGGCAACCGCCAAACCCAGACCCGTCCATCAGATTGCCAGATGGAGAAGCGCGATTCGTCACTCCAGAGAACGCGTCTCCACTGCTCTAGAGTCCAGTGGCGGCGTGCTTTACACCACCGCATCCGACGCTTTGCATTGCACTTGGTGATGTATGGCTTGGATGCAGCTGCTCGCCCATGGAAACCCATTCCATGAAGCTCTCTGCGCACTGTTCTTGAGCTAATCTGAAGGCCACATGAAGTTTGGAGGTCTGTAGTGATTGACTCTGCAGAAAGTTGGCGACCTCTTCGCACTATGCGCGTCAGCATCCGCTGACCCCGCTCCGTCAGTTTACGTGGCCTACCACTTCGTGGCTGAGTTGCTGTCGTTCCCAAACACTTCCATTTTCTTATAAT